TGGCTCGGAGCCTGGAGCCTGTTTCCGATTCTGTGTCTCCCTCTCTCTCTGCCCCTCCCCCGTTCATGCTCTGTCTCTCTCTGTCCCAAAAAAATAAATAAAAACGTTGAAAAAAAATTAAAAAAAAAAAGAAAATACATAACCTTTTGCCAATTTAAACTACCGCAGTTTACTGGATATTAAATAATGACAATATTAAGTACTGGTACACTCTCTTTCTCTCTTTTGCTTCACATTTCAGTTTAGTTCAAGTTTCTGCTTTTGAGAAAGCTATTCTGAGAAGGATTCTGAAAGGAAACTGAAAGAGATTTCATGAGCCTAAAGACTGTACAGAAATAGTCACTAAAAATAAGTAAGGACATAAGGAAAATAGTGTACTTGATTCTGTATTTGAAAACTGATCTAAAATGAGGTTCTAGAGCCTTGCCTGGCTATGAGCCTCAAAACCAGGCTCATTTATAAAAATATCCAAGAAGATTTTGCCAAAGTAAAGTGAGGACAAATGAGATGAGCAAAAGAAATAGGTCTCTCTCCCCGGGAAGGAGCAGAAAGAACAAGGGCCCAGGCAGTTTCTCAGGCTTATGCACCTGACCAGACCCCTCAGAGTAGGAGGGTGAAGCCCCAGCAAAAAGAGCCCAAGTGCCCAGCCTGTCAAAAGAGGAGGTTTTCACAACAGATTTCCACATAAACGCCACTGCATCCCTGGCAGCAATGCAGCAAAATCTGCGACTCTCTGGCAGCGACTCTGTGCAGGTCAGGGTGTGGCCTGGAAAAGTTAAGGCGGTGTTAACAGCTGCCCTAAAGCTGCAATGGGTGTTAATCAAAAGCCACCTCCCAAATAGCAGGAAGGCTTCCTCAAGGACCTTAACCTGCCCCCAAGGCCCTGTTTTTACCTTGATTTAGCAATTCTTACTAGTGGCTATCTGTTGTCTTCCTCCCACACAAGGCCCCAAGCTTGGGGTTCTGCTGCCCCTACGGGCTTGCCTTTGGTAGCCCCTCAAGGAGAAAAGCTCCCCAGGAAGGAGATAGAGCTTTATTTTTATCCTAGTTAAAGTCTCTATCCAATACATTAATCGCCAAGATAACCTTGGTCCAGGGCATTTCCTGAAGAAGCTATAACCAGCTGGGGTTAATGAACTCTCCCTACCATTAATTCCTCCGAGAGGCCATTGGCCTGAATTGTTACTTAATTACTCTTCTGTGTACAGCTTCATAAAGCAATGAAATGCCTTCTTTCAGGAAGAAGGGAGATGGTAATGGGGGTCATCAGAGGCCATTAATTTTACAAATAGTTTGTTAGAAACTACAGTATGTTAAGAAGTCACTCTGGCCCACAAATCAACTCAATGCAGTCCTTATTAAGTCAAGATCTGAAACTTCAGGTTTCCGTGACTTGCACACATAAAAAGTTACAAATTGTGCCTAATCTGGCCAAAACATACATACCAGATAAAATCAATTTACTCCTGTTTTCTGTTGATTGTGTTACCCCTTTCCACCCCCCAACACACACCCTAGAGTGTAAACTCCATAAAGGCAAGTGCTTTGGGCTATTTCGTTCCCATTCTGTCTCCCTTGTACTTAGAACAGTGCCTGGCAAAAATAGGTGCTCCTTCCAAGTTTCACTGTTGAATGAATGAGTAGTTAGTTGACTACATTATGGGATTAGGCTGCTGGTGTTAGGACCCAGAGTTCCCATAAGAGTCAAGCTTGGGCAAGGAAAGTGCTCAATCTGCTAGAGAAATGAGACAGAAGCTATCCCTTCAATCTGCCTAGAAATCAAATCCATTGAAACTACTGCCACCAAAGGGAAGACTAGGCTCTGAACTTGGCACAAATGAGGAGAAACCATTGCCATCCATCCTATTATAACATACTGCCCCACCCATCCTATGTCAAGAGCAGAATTATGACCCTATAGAAGGTTCTGAGATTCTATTGGATGGTTCCAGTGGGGAAAGATTAGACTCTTCAGAAGCTAATAGACTAGAGCAGAATCCAGAAGACCATACATCAGAAGGGAGGTAGACTTTATTGGAGAAAAGGAGAAAACTAAGTAGCAGAACAAGCCAAATTATTTACTCCTGCTTGTTTTTTCTGAGTCCTATGTAATACTAAAGATCTTAATATCTGGAGATTCTTGCAGAAGCCAGACTAGAAAGATAATTTTCCAGGGCAGTTATGCACATTTATCTATGCACATGGGGCTTAAGAGAAGCACCTGGGCATAGAGAAAAAAAGATATTAAGAACAACTGATAACGTCTATTGATGCTTACTGCCACGTATACATTTCCAAAGGGTTTTGTGTTGGTGAACCATCTATCTTCTGCAGGATGTATATTGAATTTTCCAGCATTATCCCTCTACCCTCACTGTATCCTTACTAAGGCATAAGCATATTCATGGGCAGAAGAATCAGAAAGCTAAGTTTCCTTATGGCCAAATTATAGGAGTGGGAGGGAAAAAAACCAGTTAACTTAATTTTGTTCCTGTCTTCTGGGACTCTCGGCTAGTTACTGTATTTTATAAATGGACCCATTTCCCCAATTCATTACATACATCTCTGCTGGTATTTTAGGGAATCTACAATGGAAGAACACAAGGACAATCAGCTAGACTATGAGTAAGTAGTCCTGATTATGCAAAGTCACATCCAAGGACCAAGGTATGAAGCAGGTCTGCTACTGATTCCTCCTTTCATCTTCTAGTCTTGCTCTCTCCTTCAGCTCCTATCCATCTGTCCTCCACTGTACTCTGCCCCAAACACCCCTTGGCCTCCTGAAGTGACAGCAATTGCAAAGCCCCCATCCAAGCCAGACCTTCAAGGTAGGAATTTCTTTTCCAAAACCGTCCCTTGTGCCTACTCAATACATATGCCCCTCTACCTCACTATCTTATTTCCAGTTAGTCATTTTAGAGACAAACCAATTAATTCAATGAATTAATTCATTTTCAAGAAAACTAAAAGTTTATTGAGAGCTTCCCATGTGCCAGATACATTTCTAGACTACACTAGCATTAAGTTACCATTATTTCATTCAAATTTACTTCAAAAATGATACCTGCATTCTTGAAAGTGAAAACCTGAATTACTTCTGTGTATGGTCAATGGAGTGACTCCCATAGGATATTCTCAAGCTTTCTAGTAGACAATAGCAGAGAAATTTTCAGTTGAGGGGAGGTAGAAAAAGACTGAAGCCCTAACTGCTGGTGGAAACTTCTTGTGGTTCTGCATAAACCTGTGTCCAATCATAAATTATGTACCAGCTTCCTGACTAAATGTACTTGATAAAAGTGTACTGCATGAGCAGCTTTTGTGAACAATTTGAAAATCATTCTCTCCAATGCAAAAGGCTATTTAAGGAAGCAAAACTTCTCCTGGAACCAGAGTGGAGGTGCACTATTATACTGAGCACTCTGGCCAAGAAAGACCTCCTTTGCTGAGTTAAGAATTATTGAAACAAATTGTACAGCATGATTAAGAAATGTAATTTCCTAAAAATGAAAAAGGAAAGGTGTGCTCCCAAAAATAGCCAGGCTAATGAGTTATATGTCTTCTAGATATCCTTTTTGGCCCAAAAAATTAGTGATCTTAAGATAACTGGCCCTTATTCATTTTGGGGGCTGAGCCTACAGGTCAGAGAAAGTGGAAATCTTAAGACTGGTCCAGTCAAAGAGGAACATTAACAGTTTGAACATGGACCTTGAAAGGGATATGCAGAGAATAGATGAAGCAAATCAGGAACTTCTTCTCAAAATCCAAGGGAAAGAAAATGAGATTCAGAGGTGAGTATTGGGGTTTCATGTGGGAAGTTCCTAATCCAAAGAACTTGGAAGAGAAGAAACAATTGAATTTTCCAGCTTGCTCTAGAGCCTTTATCTTTTTATAACAACTTTCTTTTTCATTCTTCAGTATTTGTCTGTGGTTCAAACCCCTGAATAATACAGCAAGTTTCAAAGAGAATCCTAAGGACACCTGGGTGGCTCAGTCAATTAAGCATCCAAATATTGATTTCGGCTCAGGTCATGATCTCGTGGTCATGACCATGGGATCAAGCTCCTCATCAGGGTCTGTTCCGACAGCATGGAGTCTGCTTGGGATTCTCTCTCTCCCTCTGTCTCTGTCCCTCAACCCACTTAATTTCCTTCTCTCTCTCTCTCTCTCTCAAAATAAATAGACATTAAAACAACAACAAAGAAAATCCTAAAAGAATGAAAGATACTCACCTGAGCTGGAAGTACATTGGGGTGTTTGATGTGGTAATCGGGGGAATCTTACTTTTCTTCTCTTTAAAGACATTCTGATCCTAAGGATCCAGGAAAGAAAGGGTTTCCAACTTTAGATTTATATTTATTGTCATCAAAGTACCCTTAAAACTGACATGTGTTTTATTATTTCTAAGGCTGTCAGTTCCTCATAGTGTGTGCTTGCATCGTCCAGGATGGAAGGTGAGATTGCTCACACCAGAGACTTGGCTGAAGATGAAGAATGGGAAAAGGAGAACCACACCATGATAGAGAGGGAAAAAGCCTTGCAGGAGCTGGAAGAAGAGACAGCCAGACTTGTAAGCAAGAATTAGGGAAGAGCTTGGTGTTCCTGGGTGGCTCATTTGGTTAACTGTCTGAATCTTGACTTCAGTTCAGGTCACGATCTTGCGGTTCATGAGTTCAAGCCCTGAGTCAGGGTCTGCGCTGACAGTATGGAGCCTGCTTCGGAGTCTCTCTCTCTCTCCCCCCCTCCCCCTCTCTCTCTCTCTGCCCCTCTCCTGCTGGCTCTCTCTCTCTCTCTCTCTCTCTCAAAATAAATCAATAAACTTTAAAAAAATGTTTAAAAAAGCAGGGAAAAGCCAATTGATAGGGTTGATTCCTCCTCACTGTCAGAAACAACAGTTTCCCCTTTTTACATACAAAGTATAGTCAACTCAAAAGTCATAGTAGAGTACGTCCTTGCATGGAAGGGGATGTGTGGAGGGTAGGGTGTCTCCAGTAATATTTAATATTGGGAAGCCGGAGATGTGGTCATCTCAATCCCTGGGAAGTTGATGTGTACGTATGGAGATCAAACCACAGGTCCTTTACCTGACATTATGCAGGAAGGTACAGTTACTGTAGTAAAATATCACTGGGGTAAAATAAAGAACAGTCAACCAAATCAAGATGGTGGTACACAGATGCACATTTAAACTCTGCTTCGTCCTCTCAACAGGATAGGAAGAATGAGACTCTGGTCCACAGTATAGAAGAACTTCAAAGAAAGGTGACATGGGGCTTTTGTGTTCCCTGGTGTCCCCACAGCAGCACCACTCATCAAAGAGGCAAGGGAGGGCAAATAATCACACAAGATCCCACATGTCAGAGAGGCCTGTGCTGGGCATGGGCACTACTACTAATCCACTCTCCTGAGGCTGAGTCTCATGGCCAAAGTGCCATGGATTATCCCTGCAAGTATCAAATTGAAAAGAGTGGATAGGGCATCCCAGGTATTCAGTGATCCCATAGGTTCTTCATTCTATCACAAGGAAATTGCTTCTAAAGGGATTGACTGGGACCTCTGTGGTGAGAGGTTAATTTTGCTTTCTATAGAGACTTTTAAAAACACTTAATTCCTAAAAATTCCTTCTTCTTTGTCCAGGTATTCCCTCTACCTCAACTGGTCAAAATACAGTGGATTTCTTTATGATTCCCCTACTTTCTGACCCATGCCCACAGGCCTGAATAATCTGGCATGGATTAGGGGTTCAGGGAAGTACTCCTACTTTGAGCAGCTTTGGTGGCCAAAACTAGTGAGAATAAATGGAGGTAGATTAAAGATGTTCCCAAAGACACCAAGTATCCATCAAGGGACCTTTTCCTGGCAGCTTTGATCTGGGCCAAGTTACTGTCTCCCACGCATCAGAGAATGTCTTTGTCTGCTATATTTTTTTTATTTGATATACTTTTTATTTGAAACGTATTTTTTCTGTTTGAAACTACAGCTTACAAGGAAATCACACAAGGCAACCAAGTGTGAACAAGAAGATCTAAAAAGAACCCCAGAAGAGTCAAAGGTAAACAAAAAAGCAACCTCGAATGGGTTTGGTCTGCGTGACCAGGAAAACAAGTCTTTAAGTGGAAACAATTGTCAAAGTTGGGATAAATTCTTTGTAGTTTCAGCCATGCCAGATTAAACCTGGGCTACTAAATGCTGAATTCTCCTCTGCCCTTAGTAAGGGCTTTCACTCTGAAGCCATATATTTTGTTCTCTTTCCATCAAAAAGAGGGCACAAATGCACAAATACATACATAACATTGGAGGTAGTTGAAGTCCCTCATTTAAATCCCAGACCCAGAGGTACTTAGTGTGATTTATGAAGTTGAGCAATTTAATCAGTTCCTCCCAGCCTCAGTTTGAAAACTGAATGAAATTGTGTATATAAAATATTTTTTTTGGAGTTCTAAAACATTAAAAAGTCACAATTTTAAGGTGATTATTTAAAAGTATAGCAGAAGCATATGCATGAATTCATATAGAGGCAGAGTTTGGACTTGTAAATCTACTGTGTGCTAGGTAATTTACACACCCTGTCATTGACTCCAATCCAGCAAAGGATTCATTCAACTGGTCATTCAAGTATATAGTGACCTCTAACTGCTAAGTGCATCATACAGGGCTTACCATTTCCCTAATTGTGTTTCACAGTTAAGCACCTGAGCACAACCATAACCCATCTGATCAAAGATGCAAGATTTAGAGATCTTTTTTTTCAGAAGGCAGATTCAATTCTTATTGATAATTTCTGTAGGAATATGTCTTTGTCCTTGCCTTATCTAATTTTTCTTTGCTTCTTTTTATGATGTTTAAGTTTTTTTTTTTTTTCTATTTTTTTTAGAAATATCTGCACCCAGTGTGGGGCTCCAACTCATGACCCTGAGATCAAGAGCCACGTGCTCTTTTGACTGAACCACCCAGGCCCCATCTTGCTTTTTTTAATTGATACTTATTTTTATATATGTCATTTAAGAACAAGTAAATTAAAGAGCAGAAAAACACACTGTCCCTATCTTTCAATCTCTTTTGCTTCTTAAGCCCCACATTTAAGCTCATACTTAAGCCCATACTGTGTGTATGAAGACTCTGAAGATATAGACACATTTAATATAGAAATCGAAAATGAAAGAATAGAGAATTACTGCTCTATGTTCTAGTGGCCAAATTAGCATTGATAGACATAAAAAAGAGGAAGTCAAAGCCTCCAAGTAAGTTGTTTGGGCATGCCTATCCAGGACACTTATCTGGAAAGAGAGAAATCAGGAGCCTATGTGTACATGGGGAATAAACTTGAGCTAAGACTAGAAAGGAGCTTAAAGCTCCTTGATTATCCTAGCCATAAAACTGCAGAGATTAGAAGACTGATTTTCTTCCTTCTTCTGCCCAAAACAAGTTTTGCTAACAGCAAGTCTGCCCGAATCTAGCGGTGACACTTTAAGTCTGGCTATGCTGGCCACGTCAGGTGAGCTGATTGTGACAGACTCCAAACAGAGAGTTCCTGGCACAACAATGGGCATTATTTTCCTGGCAGCCATCAGCCCAGCCCTAAAGAGTATTATTAACGCTTTGAATCATTCCCTTTTGTCCACCTATTTTGAAGAATTCTCACGTTGTATCTCTAACTCTATGAAATATACATTACCTCTTTTGCTTCTGTTCCTCTTGCATGCTGGTGATCAGTTGAGCAGTTTAATAGGACACCTGCCTCAACTCCTTGTGACTCAGGCCACTGTCTTTAAAATACAGCCCATAGCACCTTTGGCTGTCTGGCCCTAGATGTAATTGACTGGTGGGGAAAGGAACTGTTAGAAGAGTCCAAATGTGGGGAAAAAAAAAATGGTAGCTCAATGAAAGTGGGAACAATAGAGCTGAAAAGGGAAGAGAGGAAAGCCTGCAGTATGTCCCCTCTGCCTACAGAATATACCCCAAATGCATCTTTTCCTCTCTACTACTATTACACTACCCTTTTGCAAGCCACCATAACCCCTCACCTAGATGCTAAAGTAGCCTCCTAACTAGTGAGTCCTCCTGCCTTTATACTTAGACCTAAACAGTCTACCTTCCACACACAGAAAAGATTATTCTTTAGAAAGAAAACAAGCCAGGGGCACTTGGGTGGCTCAGTCAGTTAAGCGTCCGACTTCAGCTCAGGTCATGATCTCAGTCATGAGTTTGGGCCCCGCATTTGGCTCTGTGCTGACAGCTCAGAGCCTAGAGCCTGCTTCGGGTTCTGTGTCTCCCTCTCTTTCTACCCCTTCCCGTGCTCTCTTTCACTCACTCTCGCGCTCTCTCTCTCTCTCTCTCTCAAAAGTAAACAAACATTAAAAATTTTTTAAATAAATTTAAACAAGAAAGAAGACAAACCAGACTGTATCTTTACAACTTTAAGCTCTCACCTGGCTTCTCACTGCAATTAGAATAAAGAACCAAACTCTCCAGAAGCTATAAGGGTCTATTGTAATCTCTTCCATGTCTACCTTTCCCCACCTCATTTCATTCTTACCAATCGCCCCTAAGCTCCAGCCACGTAACATCTTCATACACACCAAATTAGTGCTCCTTCACACTAGATTCAATTCAAGTGTCCTCTCATCTCAAGGTTGACTCCCCTCCATTAAAAAGACATCTAAGGGGCGCCTGGGTGGCGCAGTCGGTTAAGCGACCGACTTCTGCCAGGTCACGATCTCGCGGTCCGTGAGTTCGAGCCCCACGTCGGGCTCTGGGCTGATGGCTCAGAGCCTGGAGCCTGTTTCCGATTCTGTGTCTCCCTCTCTCTCTGCCCCTCCCCCGTTCATGCTCTGTCTCTCTCTGTCCCAAAAATAAATAAACGTTGAAAAAATTTAAAAAAAAAATAAAATAAAATAAAAATAAAAAGACATCTAAAATTGGTCCTGACGCACTTTAACCACCTGTGAGATAATGTTTGTGATCCCATTTCAGAATGGAATCCTGCTTTTACCTGGCTGAGTTACCAGTCTCTTTCCCTTTCTATAGGCTAAGATAAAACAGCTGGAAGCTTCCTGTGCAGACCAAGAGCAAAAGCTGACCAAGGTAAACGACAATAACTTCAATGTTCCTTCTCCCACAGTAAGGAAAACTTGATCTTTGGTCACAAAATTTGGAGGAATGTATTACATCATGTCAATACAGTCCCCCAGATTACCTTCTCTTTTCACATTTTTTACAGAATATTCTCCATAATCTATACCTTCTATGAATTAGTATCTATTTTTCTCCCAACTGTCCCCAAGTAATTTCCATCGAGACTGTAAAGTACAGCCTGTTCATCCACAAAAAAAAAAAAAAAAAAAAAAAAAAAAAAAAAAAAAAAA